TTTGTTCAGTTTTGAAGTTGGACTGGGGGTTGGGGGACTGTGCTTTTTGTGGTTTTCAGATTTAATTACGGGAGAGCTATGATTCAGAAGCTATCTGCAGATCCCAGTATCTGTTGACAAGTATGTGGTCCCCTGGAATTCACTTCCTGCTACCTTACAATCTGTCCATGCAATTGGGTGTATGTTTGCCCCCTGAAAGCAAAATGAGATAAGAAAAAGGAAAAGAATGGAAGAGGGAAGGAGGAAGATGAAAGGGAGGTAGAGAGAGAGAAGAATAAGAGGGAAAACAGACAGGCATACCAACTAACAGATAAACAAGAAACAAAGACAGAAAAAACCAAAAACAGACAATCATACAAACAAGCAAAAACCCCTGTTGGTATACTCACCCTCAAAAATACCCATACACAAACAGAAAATCTAAAAAAAGTTAAAATAACAGAAAGAAAGCTAGTATGAAAATGTACATTAAAACAGAAAGCAAGAAAAACTAAAACTAAAACTAAAACAAGCAAACAATAAAAAAACTTGTGGCTGTTTCTGTAACTCCATGGTTCCTTTTGGCTGTCACTGCATTAAGGAGTGGCTCTGGTCTCCAGCCCCTCCCCTCTATTTTCAGCAGAGGCTGATGGGGCTGCTTTCAGCATGGGTCAGATGCTCCATGGACTACTGTGGGAGGAGGATGGATCAGATCCAGACTCACCTGTTGCTGTCGCTGCTGTCAAGTTTCCCACTCAGATCTAAGGTGTCTGTGCCTATTCCTGCATGGGGGAGGGGTATCTGTCTCTACAACTCTAATGCGGGGAGGTCCCAGGTTGGAGGCTGGACAGCTCTCTGTCTGGTCTGGGACAAAGAAGATGGCACTGGTCAGCATCTCCTCACCAGTGGCGGGGCTTTGTTACAGATTTCCACGCCCTTCCTTCTCCACGGCTCCTGCTGCTTGTGCCCAATCTTGCTGCCACAGGTGATGATGTTGGCCAGGTACCAGGTGGTGAGGAGCAGTTGTTCTCTGCTGCCTCCTCTCAAGAGAGCCCTCAGAATGACAGACAATCTTGTGCACTGGTGGTTTCAATCTCAGGGCAGTGAGTTGCAGTCACCTCTGGAGGAGAGCCCCGGGTGCATGAATGTGAGTTTCCCCTGAGATGGACTTTCACTCACCCATTGGCACATACCCACTCACACAGAGAGTGTTTATGGACACTCACTTTTATGGAAACACTCCAACCTGTTCCATTGCCATCTTTCCTCCCTCCACAGATTTTGAAATAGACTTAGCTAGGGCCTTGTTTCTCCCAGTTGGTGCATGATCACCTATCTGAACTTTCAGGAGACTGAGCATTACTTCCCAACTGCAAAAGACTCCCAAACTGAAAGGAATGGATCTGCGAACCATTTTTGAATAAGCCAGGTGAATCCATTTTGTCCATGCTAGCAGAGGATCAACTGCTTGAGATCACAAATGATGGTGGCCTTAAAAGTATGATTGAGACAACTTCATATCTCCATGCACTCTGGATTAAAGTCAAAGCAGAACATCTTGAGATTGCTGCAAAAGCACTGAAATGCCTGCTTCCATTTCCAACATCCTATCTTTGTTAAGCCGGGAGTTCTGCAGTGTCAGTCATCAAAATAAGATTACAGAGTAGACTGGACATAAGCAATACACTCCGGGTGTCACTGTCTCCCAGATGGGACCAACTAGTTGCGAGAAAACAAATTCAGAGCTCTCACTGATTCTGCATTATGGTGAGTTTTTTTTTATAGTTATTTCATTATATATTACAATGTAATAATAATAGAAATAAAGTGCACAACAAACGCCCCAGTCTGTGGAAAAGTTGTCTTCCATAAAACTGGTCCCTGATGCCACTGCTCTAGAAGAATTGTCTAGGCAGACAGTGGTGCCTTGCTAACATGGGTTACTGGTTTCCCTGAGGATGAGAATTACCTTTGTTCTTGAGTCTCAGAGCCCCACCCAGGCCTGGGAGGCCTGGTGCTTGAGACCTGGGAGGCCTGGTGCAGAGAGCTTTTGACAGAGTTTTGTGCCCTAAACTCTGGGGGAGTGACCAAATGTTCTTTCCCCAGAGTCCTCCCTTCCCCAGAGTCCTCCCTTTTAGGAGACTAAAAGTTCAGGAGTGGCCTCTACAGTGTGAGATGCACCCTAGGGACTAAATTATAGGTCTTGGGGTAGGAGGTCTTTGGAAGAACTCTTTGTGGCCCAGCTGAGTCTGGCCTCCTTCCTGAATGGCTGAGAGCCTGGGACATCAGGCTGCTTCCTCTCTGCTTGATGTCCAGCTCTGTGTGAAGCTCCCAGCTGGCCTCATGCTAACTTGCTTTAATAATGTGCATTTTCCACACTCCTTTAAGGAGAGGCCAGCACTTTTCCCCTAAATGTATCCAAAGAAAGCTGTGGCAGTGTCTTACCTGGCCATGCTGCTAGTGTACATGGCTGTGAGGGTCATAATTACATGGGCAGGAAACCCTGCCTTGGGAGGCTGGGAAGCCTTTGTCCTCACCCAGGACCACAGAAGGCTAGGCCGGCCAGGGGAGCCAAGGCTCACCTGCCTTCGATGCCCTTCCTCACTGCTCCTTGTCCCTCAGGCAGACGCAAGGGGTAAAGAAGGAACACAGCCCAGGGCTCAGGAGCCCAATATCTGTCCCATTGTCTCTGAGCCTGCTGGTGGGTGCAGGTGGGGTGTGGCTGGATGCTGCACAGGGCCCAAGGCCTCGATCCCTCAACTCCATCATGAGATGATGATTCCTCCTCTCAGTGGCTGTAAAGTCTGGCAATTGTGTTACGTGGACTTCAGGCAGGGAGAGCAGCCCCTGCTGGTGATGGTCCATGGGATCCAGAAGGACAGGTCACTGTAGCCCCCAGACTTCTGACAGCACTTTATCATTTCAAGGCCAACAAGTGGGGTTCTTGGCTTGGCCCCGGGACCTCCACCCTGAGAAACAAATGCTGCAGGCAAGGAGTAACTGTGGCCCAGAGTTTTGTGAATCAAATCAACACACGATGGAGCACAGAAACTTCTATGTGAATGAATTGGGCCATGGGAATGGCAACCTGAGGCAACAAGTCATGAAAACTCAGCATCCTCTTCCCTTCTCCTTCTCACTTGGTCCTGCCCTTGAGGCCTGAGTGACCTGCATTTGTTACTGGTCAAAGTCAGAGGGTGGCTCCCCTTCCCCTTAGGCACAATCCTTACTCAACTGGGGATTCCTTAGACATCCTCTGGGGCGGTCACACCTGTGCTGCCCACCAGGATGTATGGATGGAACTGGAAGATGCTTCCAGATGAGTGCAAGGGTCACACCCAAATAAGGATAGCCACACCAGGGTCCTCCTGAGCTGCTCCCAGAAGAGTCCTCCGCCTGCCACCCCATCTCTCCTGGAACCTCCACTGCTGTTCCTATCTCTACTCCCTCTCTTTGTGCCTTGCACTATGCAGAGCCCTCCCTTCAGCTTCCCAGGGTCAAGGCCCTGAGCCCTCCCCATCCCCCATGAGGAGGCTGCTGGCCTGCTACTTATCAACCCACTCCCTCCCCAGCTGGCTCCAGGGCCCTTTGGCCTGGGTGTGGCTATCTTCCTAGGGACTGGAGGATGCACTTTCCATCCAGGGGTTCGAGTTTCTTACTTTGGGTGTTTTGCTTTGCCTGCAGCTGTTTGGAGAGGTGAGGGGACCCCTTCCCAAAGTGCAGGGGTGAGGCTAGTCCCACATGACCCCAGGCTTCCAGGAGATACCCCACTTGGAGGTCATGGCTGGTGAGCTGAATCTTCTGCCTATTAGTCAGGAAAATGTGCACAGAGGAAAAGAGAGATGGGAGATGGGTAGCTAACAGCAACAGAAGTTTATTCCAGGAAAAAGACCTGAGGAGTGGTACTCCAGATGAGATTGAAGCCCACTCCCACTTACAGGCTAGGGCAGTTATAGGGCATGAGGGGAAAATTTCATGGTTGGCATTGCTGGGGGTAACTAAGGCTTGTGGTTAAGTAAGTTGGGAGGAAGCCTTGAAGTTAGGCTAAGTGTTACATATGGCAGGATGTTTGTAGCGTTGGCCTAGTTGGTAATTTTCCATCTTGGGGCAGCTATTAAAATGGCAGAGATATTTAAGATGGTGTCTCAAAGGTTTTCAGTCCCCACCCCAACGAGGTAGGCCACTGTTTTCTCATGCCTGCCCCCCGCACAAGGCAGGTTCCCCCCAGTTTCCATGCCACTTTCCTCACCTCCCCAAAATGACCCGTATCCCCATCCCCACCCCCATGAGGCAGGCTATCTCTCCCACCCCCGCGAGCTGGGCCACTGTCTTCCCAGTGGCAACGTGTTGTCCAGCGAGGCCCCATCCTGCTGCGTTTTAGCCATGCAGACAAGACTCCCAGAAGGATTTCTGAAACAGAAGCAAATGACCATGTGGAGAAGCATTGCGACCACCAGGAATGTGTGAGCGGCTTCCAGGACTGCAGGGTCTCCTGCAGTCAGCTTCAGACAGCTCCAGTGGCCCCCAGTGTAGTCAGCCTGGCAGAGTTTAGCTTCCAGCTCCCTCCATTTCCGGTCTTCACACCCTGGGTCTCTTGAGGGGATGTTCATGTGACTGCACGGGACTAATCACAGCTCCCCTCCTTGGTGATTGTCCCAGGGAAGGGCATGTGACTGACCCAGCCAGACTGGAAGTTCCCTGCAGAGTGGTGATCTGGGTCTCTGGGTCTCCACAGCCCCAGGCCTGGTCTGGCCTCAAGGATAGGGCATGGGAGAATCAAGGCAGAGTCCCTCTCTTTCTGTTTTCCCTCCTCCAATCTTGTGGATGTTATGCTCTTACTTACATCACGTTTAATGGCTATAGCGCTGTGTTTGCAAACACAAACTACTGGTTGGTTTATGTATTTTCACATTAGTGTCCTTAAAAACTGATCAGGAAAGGGGTGGATAAGACAAACTTGAATTTTCCTGGAGGTGATTTAAATATTTGTAAATTCATTTATTTGATGATTGGCCGATTTGTAACTTGAATACTTGAAATTTGATTTATTTGAATATGTGAATACGAAAGCACAGAGTTCAGCTTTCACTTGAAGTGCCCCCAGTGAGGAGACCCCCAGCATGGATAGGTCAGGATGAGCCACCCACAGCAAGCAGACCCCCCCAGCTCAGACAGATTGAGGTGACCCACCCACAGCGAGCACAGGCCAGGTGACCACCTGCAGTCAGCAGACCACCAGCATGGACAGGTTGGAGTGACCCACCCATGGCAAGCGGACTCCCAGCTCAGACAAGTCAGGGTGACCCATCTACAGCAAGCAGAATCCCCCAGCTCATATATGTTGGGGTGACCCACCCCTAGGAAGCAGAACCCCCCCAGATCAGACAGATCAGGGTGACCCACCTTCAATGAGGAGATCCTCAGCACAGACAAGTCAGGTGACCCACCCAAGAAGAGGCAATGCCCAGAGGCTCTGGGTCAGCTGTGATATGTCTGACCGACTGGGCATCTTTGGTTTCACAGACAAGAGAGGAGGGTGGTGAAGTTGTTTTTGGCATAATTAGCTGAAGAGACAGAGCCTAAGCCCAGTTATGAACCCTGTTCTGAGTCTGGCCACTCTCGTCTGGACATGCTTACCCCAGATCCAGTAGTGTCATCCTATCAGAAGGGGAACTCTACCAATTTTAAAATCCTCACTCTCAGTTCTAGTTAGAATTACAATGTCAGTACTTGGTTTCTGAGGCATGTTTTTCCACTGAGAACTACTAGCCTTAAATATTTACTCACTAATCACAGCTCATCATAGGGAAAGGGATCCAAATGTGGTCATACTCTTTTGGGCAGGTGGGACGGCAAAGACCATCTAACTAGGTTTATTTACACTGATAAGAAACACATTCAAGGAGGGGTGGTCCTTTCAAATGATGGTGGACAAGGCTTTGTTTTTAAATGTAGTGGGAGCCTTAAGGGTGCCACAGAGTAATTTGTGGTAGTCAGTTTTGTTCTTCCTGGGTTAGGATTCTACACAGCCATGGCAGTCTATACAGCACATTCTTAACGACTGAGAATTGACTGTCCTAAGTGATTATTACTGAGTCCCTGGGACAGTCAGCTGACACATTTCCCCAGTATAGCTGAAATAATGATACAGACTGTTTAAAACAGCCCATGGAAAGAGGTTTTCAATTTTTCAATCACAAAGCAAATCAAGCCCCCTAATTAGCTACAATGCGGCTAGAAAGCACAGCTCCTACTAGACTGCAAGCCCTTGTTCTCTGCTTCTTGCATGACCTTCATCTCTGTCACAGGAAGAACTTGGCTGCTTTCTCAATCTCACTCATGTTCAAAGAACTCGTGGCAGGCAGTGGTAACCATAGCAACGAAGGCCATAAATTCCTGGAAGTCACATTCCCCATCTCCGTCATTGTCCAGTGTTTCCATGACTTTATCCACAACCTCCTGCTCTTTGATTTCCTAAGAGAGAGAGAAAAAGTTACCCAACTTGTTTTTAAATGAAAATTAGGGCCGTCAAAACACAATTAAGAGTGACTCTGATAATTTGTATCAGAAATAACCTAAGACATCGAATGCAAAAAGTCATATGACCAGGGGCTGTTGTCCAGGCAGAAGTCTCACATCTATACCTGGCCCTGGACACTTGGAAAGACTGAGTGGAACAGCCATGATGCGAAAAACTGCATGGTGTTATCGTACTTAAAACAAACACCTCAAAAAAAAAAATACTGTCTAGATCAGCCTGAGCTCATCTAGAACTAAACTTTGGGTCTGAACACAGTGGCTCACGCCTATAATCCCAGCACTTTGGGAGATCAAGGCATAAGGATTTCTTGAGCCCAGGAGTTTGAGACCAGCCCAGGAAATATAGTGAGAACTCAATTCTACAAACAATTTAAAAATAAGCTGGGTGTGGTGGTGCTGTAGTCCCAGCTGCTTGGGAGGCTGAGGCAGAAGAACTGCTTGAGCCCAGGAGGCTAACACTGTGGTGAGCCGTGAGAGTACCACTGTACTCCAGACTGGGTAACAGAGTGACTTAAAAAAAACGTTGGGCCCTCCTAAGTTTTTCATGTGTTTCTGTGTGTGTAAGTCTCTATTGTGAAGGCTTCCAGGGGAATTTCATGTTTTGAAAGTTTTCTTTGTTGCTGAAATAACTCTTGGGAACACGTCCTACATTTGCCAGCTCCTTGTGTTCTTTTTCTCACTTGCATTGTTTTCTAGGTTCACAAGATGTCTTCTTGACAGTCCTGACTGACACCAGAGCCCAATGAGTGGGTATGGTTATCAGGTGACCTACAGAGCCACAGAGAAACAAACACAGCACAGAGCTACAAACACTGGGGAAAGGATGTGGGCACTGGACGTTGAAGAAGAACGTACATGCAGATCGTTCAGAACAAATCCCCGGGATAGGAGGACTTGGCCTGAAATCAAGTACAATGCACAGTGACTGCCTTGACTATAAAGCATAGAGGATTTTGACTCCATGGGTGCTGAGGTGGGACATGTGGTTTACTGCTCAAAGGTGGATGGAAGCAGGGTGGTGACTTCAACGACATATGGATCTGCTTCCAGACAGAAATGAACTTGATAAACCAGGCCAACGGCTGTTCATGATGCTTTGATATACTATGAATTCATACTACTATGAATTATTTATCATTTATAAATTGTGGTTCCCACATGCTAAGATTTTTCTGTGTTTTAAAATCAATGATTAGTAAGTCGCTACCATTTGTTGCCTTTTCACTATATGTTAAGCAACTCACAAAGTCTCATTTTATCCTTAAAACAATCCTTGTTCATAAGGCTCAACTGATACTTTTTAATGAAGTCTGAAGGTAGAATTGATGGGACTAGATAACTGCATGTGGGTGCAACCATTGTCACTCTGTGAACCTTTCAGGAATATCCACAAGACTGCAGACCTGTGTACTCCATTCTAGTGGTGCCATTCACAGTGGTGGAGTGTTGGGTGGGAGTGGGCACAGGAGAATTCAGCCAGTCCTCCCAACACTGTGTCCCGCCTTGCTGCTGGGATTCAGGGTGTATCCTGCACAAAGGGGCTTGGCTAGCTTAGGAGGGTGGCTCTTCGTCCCCTTTCAGCAGGATCCTACCCTAGTGTTTTCCCTAGAACATGCAGATTGTCAGACACTAGCATGCTGCTTCATTGGCCATTTCTCCTTTGTGAATGGTCACATCAATCACCCATGAAACTCTTCATCATGTCTCGCATTGGATACCACTTGTGCTTCACTGTCAAGGTGTGCCTCAGGCCAGCCATGGTTCTGGACACCGAGGGAACATCAGGTGCCAAGGGGATCACAGTTCACTTCCACAAGGGCATGAAGCTGGTGACCAGTAGGGATGTGAGTCCTTAATGCAGGTGTCTGGACATCCACCCACCACAGGTCAGAGCCAGAACTGCCTGGAGAAGGGCAGTTCTGGCCAGAAGCCCTTGTGCGGTTTCTTAAATTAGGGGCCCCAACTGAAGACAGTTCCTCGCTAACGTGCCTTATTCCATGGAACCCCTGTGAGGATCTAGAGCTTCCAAAGGATGTGCACAGACCTCTGCCACACCCTCAGGCAAGAAGTGGTCATTCATTGGTGTCCAGTTGGATGTTCCAAGGCAGGGTTATGTCTACTGGGCCCCCATCTCTCCCAGTTTTGAATTACTGAGGACTCAGTAAACGTTTAATGAGTGGATGTCTAGCGTCTCTTATCACCATAGAAAATACCTAAACATCTAGCTAAAGCCAAAATATATCCTTTTCCCAAAAACATCTCCAAAACTTATTATTATTATTACTATTTTCTTTGAGTCAGAGTCTCACTCTGTTGCCCAGGCTGGGGTGAGGTGGCACGATCACAGCTACCGCAGCCTTGACCTGCTGGGCTCAGGCAATCCTTCCACTTCAACCTTCCAAGTAGCTGGGACTATAAGGCACATGACAGCACGCCTAGCTAATTTTTTTGTTTAATTGTAGAGACGAGGTCTTGCCATGTGGCCTAGGTTGGTCTTGAACTCCTGGGTTCAGGTAATCCTCCTGCCTCTCTCTTCCAGAGTGCTAGGATTACAGACATGAACCACTGAGCCTGGCCTCCAAAACTTATGTTTAACAGTTTTTTTTGTGCTCACTTTGGCCCATGATAAGTCATGAGTAGTTTTTCCATCATATTCTGCCAGCATTATTGCGTGTAAATGCTTCAATTTTCAGGGGAAGGTTGGCATTATTGGGAACTTCTATTTTTGCCATTGAGATGGCAGATTTTACTTGCTGCACCCACTATACACAGGACAGATGATAAGAAAATGGAAACTACAGGACCCATTTATACCAGCCTCTGTAACAAGGGCTCTGTTGCTTAAAAATGTCTTCAGAAGCAACTCAGGCATACCAAGACAGAACCAGAATCATCTGTACAGGCAGGTTGATAAGTAGAGAGGAGGATGACCCAACTGTCAGTTTTCAAAGACTCACCTCTAAGAAGTGGGAGAGCTCATGGTTGATGAGCTCTTTCAGTTCTGACTTCTTCAGCTTGTGCTTGTCGCCCTCCCTCCCGGAATATTGATGGAAGACATCGATGAGGGCCACCATGGCTTTTTCCAGGTCTGACATCCTTGGGGCCCAACGAAAGAGGCCTTCTGCTCTGTGCCTTGTTTGTACATAAAATATTTAGCATGGTGTCTACCAGACCCCAACTCAGATAAGGGATAGACTGGCCTTGGCTTACTTCAGGCTCAGACCAATGGGCCTGGCCTGGAGGGGCCTTCAGGGACTTGCACATTTATCACAATCCTCCCACCTGCCTCTTGCCCATCTCCCCCTCCCTTCTCTGTCTCCAAGGGCTACAAGGATACATCCCTGTGGCCTCTGGCTTCTGGTTGGGTTTGGTCAATGGGAAACTTCAGCAAAAATACAGCGGCAGAGCCACAAGGGAATTCAGAGGTTGACTCTTGCTTCCTCCCCTTGGGCTGCACTCTGCCCTCACAGAGCTCCAGGATGAAATGACAAAGCACAGAGGCGTCAAGCATCAACTGCAAGCTGCTACAATTAACCAGAAAGCAGTAAGGTGACTAGGTGACTAGGAGCAAAATAAGAATCCAAAAATCAACAGCATTTCTATATTCTACCAATAAACAATCAGAAAATATAGCACAAAATCTCTTATTCATATAGCAATAACATATTATCTAAGAATAAGTTTAGGAAGAAAAATTCAGGTCTTTCTAAAAGAGCCTAAGGAACATAAAATGTAGGAACTTATTTTCCTTTGAACTAGTGTATAAATTTAAATTTAAAAAATAAAACAATTAGATTTTTGGGGGGTGAGGAACATGATAAAAATAGCTGTAAAATTCATCAGGAAAAATATGGTAGGATTTCCACAATGTTTTTGAAAAATAACAATGAAAGATACCTGATCTACCAGAAACAAAAATGTATCCTCGGTTTAAATGATTACGCTTATGTGTCTCATCGCAGGGATACAGAAGGCCACGGGAAATTGAGCCAAGTCCCAAAACAGAGTGTCCCCAAGTTGCCTTCAGTGAACAGGGAGTTGGCAGCTCCTCACTAACATTACTGGGACATGCACAGGAATGAGTGTTTTTCTGAAGTCATCAAAGTAAGAGGCCTCCTGTGCCCTCACAGTGAGTACCTCACATTGTAGCCTGCAAACTGAGGACTATCTGATCAATCCTGGGTATATGATACATTTTATGAAGGATAGTTCATCAGATGTTCCACAAAACAGATGAGCAGGTGGAGAAGTTTACCAGCTTTTGGCCTTGAACTCTAATCATTAAATAAGACCTTTGGCAATGTCATAAAGATATATTTAAAAATTAAATATTGTTGAAAAATCATTCTCATGTTGAATATATTATTTACATCTTTAAAATAATCTGGAATAAAATGTTGAAAATGTTATTTCTGATCTGCCAGAGGAAACAGGATTGAAGATTTTTATATTGGCTTGATTTTTCCTAAAGTCATTCTATTAGTATTCTGTGTACTTTGTTTTGCTATAAGTCTCTAAAAATTTCATATTTCATAATTAGAACAATTCAAATGGGTTATAATCTTTAACATTTCATGCTTTCTTATTCTTTTCATTCGTTTTCAATTACATATATAAATATATATGATTTTTTTAAAGAAACAAAACAAAAACTCAAGAGACTTTTGCATTATCCTGGTGCTCCTCAAAGTCGAGGTTTGTGATGATTTGGGGACGGGAAGGTTAAATCACTTTTCTGTGAAGTATGACTAATGGAACTTCTACAAAGAAAAGGCATAAAACATATATTCCATATATTAGAGCAAATCATAAAATATAGTTTCTTTATAACCACACTACAAAATTAAAACATTTTTCTGTTAAATTTTTCTTTTTAAGAAACAGTTGATAGTTTATAGCTTATCTTTTAAGATAAATGGAAATAAATATCCATGTTTCCTTTTCACTTCATTCTGTGAATGTTCTGCATTAATCTTTGTAAACTGAGAATGAGAGAACGTTTGAACTTTTTCTAGAAAGACATGAAAGGGTTCAGCTTCTCTGAGAAGCTCTGAAACTGAGCAAAGTTAAAATCTCATAAATCCCAATTTCTTTGACCTGATTTATTTATAATTGTCATGCAATTTTCCAGTTGTGTTTGGGGAGCTGGGGACCCTGGCACTTCAAACTGAGGGACACTGGGACACCAAGAGGCAGTTACCTAGGGCCATGGAAGAAGTAACAAGGAGAAAAAGTAAAACTTTTGTTTTTGAGGTGGGCTAACTAGCACTGGGTTTGCCATAATTTTCAGCCCATGTGGGAAGCAGAAACTTTGTTCTTCAAAGAGTTAGAGAAGAAGAAATATTTGTAGTACCTCTGGGTAAAATGTCAGCAATCACTTCTGGGCCACGAGACCTGAGTTTTCTCTGATTTATGGTCAGACACAAGCAAGACACGCTCCCAGCTGTCTTGTGCCAACACAGTTGTGCCCACCGAGCAGAAACGAAGATGAAAACACGTCATGCCATTGACATGTCTGACATGCTGCCAATTATTCTAAAGAGACCTCTAGCTCCCATTCAGTTTCCAGCCCGCATCAACCGCCTCACCCAAAGAAAAGAGCCCTTTCTTCCAGAGTGTCCTTGGGTGCTGGTTCCTCCTCACCTCTTCTCGGTCTCCTCCTGCTGCAGGCCTCCTCTGCTGTGGGTCTTGGGTAGCCAGTGGAGTGGGCAGAGGCCCCTCTTATTCCCTCTGCCCAGGGAAGACAGTGAGCCCTGGTGCAGCCCACTGTAGGTCAAGGCAGCCAATGGGGCGGAGGGAGGGGGCGGAGGGAGGGAGCGAGGGGGAAGCTGGACGGGGAGGGAGGGGCCAGGCCTGCACAGAGGTTGCATTGACCAAGTTCCCCCAGGGACTTGCTGGGGAGCCAGGATTGCACAGGGGCTGAGGGAGAAAAAAGGGCCTGTGGGGCAGGAAGTGGAGAGTCAGCTTTTTGTGCTATTTTTTAATTTATGACATGAATATTGATGTTCTTCTGAAGGCAAGGTTGGGGGTAGGGAGAGAAGAGCGACTTGGGTTAGTGGATTCAAACAAAGCAAATGTGCAGCCAAGAGCCACAGGCATCCAATTACTGGCTGAATGTGGGGGCTGAAGTGGCCGGCGGGCTGGTTTCCAGGGAGAGGCCGGAGCTGTTGTCCTTTGCCAGCTTCCTGGGCCTGGCCCCCACCGCAGGCATGATGCCCAGAGGACATCAGCACTTGGTTGTGGTCAGCCTTGACCTAAGCAGGGCTGCCTAAGCAAAGCTGCTGAGACGTGTCTGCAGGTACTAAAATGGGTGGTGTATTGGACACTCAGTGCTTTTAGGCAAAAATTCTTGTTTGGTGTGATTGAGGACATGTGCCAGTTGCACTCCCAAGGCCTCTTCCTTCATCCCAGTCACAGATTGTCAGAGTTGGATGATGCTTTAGAGGTGTTCTGTGCAAACCCTTTTGCAGAGGCATTAATACGGTGTGTCCCTCCAGCCACAGGAAGGCCACATCTAGGCATTCCTGCCTGACTCAGCAACTCCCGACCAGAGAGAGGCTTGAAACACGGCAGCCAGTGTGTGGGTTCTTGTGAAGAAGTAGGCATTCCTTTTGACAAATGATACAAAAGCATTGGCCCAAACTCATCAAACATGTCCACAGCCCCGAATGTTTGATCTGGCATCAGGTCCTTCTGCCAACTGTCTTAAAGTGGCCACAGAAGTGTTTACATACAAAGATGCCTGTGCATAGGGTCGTTTTGCTGTCATTTGTTTTATGCAGGAAATCCTTGACTGTTCAGATCCATAAGCATGCCCTGGAAATAGCACAGGCTGTGGGCTGTGTCAGACCCCATCCCCCATGCCCTGTGAGGTAGGGTCTGGGCAGTATGGACCCAGCCCCCACCCTCCATGGGCAGTATGGACCCAGGTAGTGTGGACCTTGTTCTTCACCCCCATAAAGTAGAGCCTGAGTAGTGTGGAACCCTCTGTACTCCCCATGAGGTAGGTTCTGGGCAGTATGGACCCTTTCCTTATCCCCATGAGGTTGCACCTGAGCAGTGTGGACACATCCCCTATGCCCTGTGAGGTAGGGACTGAGCAGGGTGGATTCGTCCCTCAACCCCACGAGGTAGAACCTGGGCAGTGTGGTTTGGCCCCAGCTCCCTCATGGGTTGCACTGTCCGCAGCTGTGGTCCCTAATGAAGACTCAATCACATGCCTGTGATGGACAGAACTTGCCCAGGCCCATGAAGGAAGCAACTATGTCAGGCACTGGGCAGTGGGAGTGGCCATTCCTGTAAGCCTTGGCTACTACCCTAGAGTGGTGACCTGGACTCAGGGTACATCCCTCAGTGTTCACAGAAAAAGCTTCAGCCTGCTCCTGTGCAAGGGTTAAAACTAGTTTATTTTTAACTATGTGTTTTTAACTATGCAATGATTGCACACCTATGCAGGGTTCCGCCCTCAGCTTGGGGACTTGGTAGGACTGTCCTCTGGACACAGACACTGTAGCTTCCTGGGATGGTGAGTAGGGTGTGGTGTGTCTACCCTGTTCTGGGCTCATAGGAGCAGGCTGGGAGAGAGGAGAGGGCATTCTTCAGAGAGGTAAGGGAGTGATGCTAGGGCTCACAAGCTGGGAGAGGATCTATCATCAGGAAGAGGGGGCCTCCAGGCTGGTCTCTGCCTATCTCTCAAGAGCTGATAGACACAACCTCACCAAGTTCTCACAGACTCAAATGACTGCCAGGTTTGAATCTCAGTTAAATCCACCACTTAGCCGGGCTCGGTGGCTCAGCCTGTAATCCTGCACCTTGGGAGGCTGAAGTGAGTGGATTTCCTGAGCCCGCGGGTTCAAGACCCGCCTGGGCAACTTGGCGAAACCTCATCTCCACAATAAATCAAAAATTAGCCGGGTGTGGTAGCACACGCCTGTAGTTCCAGCTACTTAGAAGGCTGAGCGGAAGGATCGCCGGAGCCCAGCAGGTCGAGGCTGCGGTGGTTGAGAGCAGCCGCTGCACTCCAGTCTGGGCGACAGAGTGAGACTCCAACTCAAAAAAAAAAAAAAATCACCACTTAACAGTGGTTCAACTTTGGACAAATTACAAAACCTGTCTGTGAAAGGGATGACCACAGTTCCCACCTCACAGGGTTGCTCTGGGTGATCTTACTTGACCTTCACACTTCCAGATCACCTGGGATCTCTTGCTCTGACCCCCCCCCCCCGTTTTGATCTCAGTCCATTAGACTGGATCACCTGGTCTAGTCATGTGTGACATGTATGTCCACTTCCTCCTTGCAACTATATTCCACAGGAGGACTCATTACTAATGCAACAAGAAATATGTTATTGAGGGGGGCACCTGAAAAGTTATGTGGTTTGTAGCCTACATGTGTCTACAGTTGGGTAGACTCCCTGATTTCAGTGACGTTGATGGTATAGCAGAGGCTAAGTGACAGCACTCAACCACAGGAGACATGGCAAACAGTAGAGGGAATGTACCGTAGTCAGAATGCCGTGGTCCACAGGGCTCTTTGGCCATGGCTAATTGGTCACCATGTGACTAAGAATGAAATAGATGGACAGCCTACTAGAGTAGTCCTTAATCCAGACAACAGGAAAAACACCAGGTGGTAGCCAAAAAACCTGACTTGAATCACCACAGCACAGAATCATGGCCCCTCTTGAAGTTTCCAGATCTAAGTTGGGTCAGACCCAGAGTGTCTTGATTAAAAGGAATGCCAGGTCCCCTTGACAAAGATCCTGCACTGCTACCAGGAGTACACACCACAGATCTTCCTCCACAGCTGCCCTGATGTGACCTGCAACCATTGGCTAATGAAAAGGAAATAACCTAGATCTTCAGAGGATTGTTAGATACTCTCTGTGAATTGACACTAATTCTTGGGAACCCCAAATGGCACTGTGGCTCAGTTGTCAAAGCAGGAGCTTGTGATGACCAGGTCTTCCACTTGACAGAGGTCCTAACTTGAGACCCACTCACAGTGGGCCCAGTTGGGACACTACTTTCCCTAGAGTTATTTTTTTCAGTTTCTGAATGTATAAATGAAACAAATATACTTGGCCACTGGCTGAATTTCCTCACTGGCTCTCTTATATATGGGGTAAGGACCATTATGGTAGAGGGTAGGTGAAAATCCCTAGATTTCCCCCATTTTATCAAGAGACAATACTGTACTCCTGAAAGAACTTCAGAGGTTAATCCCACCATCAAAGAGTTGAAATAAGCAGGAATTGTGATACCTCTCATAAACCTATTTAACTGGTCAGTTGAGCCTGTGTAAAAGTCACCTGGATTATAGAGAATGTGGACAATTGCAAATGTAATCAGCTGGGGACTTCAGTAACAATTGTGGTGCCAGATGAGGACTCTCTACTGGGGAAAACCAACATAGGCCCTGGCACTTAGTATGCAGCTACTGATCTGATGAATGCCTTTTTCTCTAAATCAATTTGCAAGGACTACCAGAAGCAGAATGCTTTACCTGGCAGGACAAACAGTGTACATTCATAGTGCTGCCTCAAGAACATGCCAGTTCTTCTGCTCTATGCAATAACAATGTCTCCAGAGATCTTGATCATCTTCACAGTTCACAAAACATCACACTGATCCACAAATGTTGGTAACATTACGCTTGTGGAATCTGATGAGCACGAAGTAGCAAGCACCTTAGGTGCCTTAGTAAGACATATTCAAACTAGAAGGTAGAAGAAAAGCCCCACAAAATTTAGGGGTCCTCCCCACCTCAGTGATGTTTCTGGGGGATTCTGTGGTCTGGAATATGTTGAAATATCCCTTCTAAGTAAAAGTAAATTTGCTGTATTTAGAACCATCTGCTATGAAAAAGTCCAACATTTAGTTGGACTTTAAGGATTTTCAATACAACATACCCTATATTTGCATGCACTGCTTCAACCCCTGAGGCTGGCAGTTTCCAAAGGAGCCCACAGAAAGTTTAGGCTAAAGTTTAGGCATAAGCTGCTGTGTCACTTTGCCCTTAGTGACACAATGAAATGCAGTACAAACCCTCTGACAAGCACTAGCAGGAGAATCACAGTACAGACCCCAAGGATTTTTGAGTGAGTCTGTGTCCTCTACACATACTAAGTGTAGGAGTTTTTAATCTCTCAGGCTCTCCACTCTGAACCTCCAGTAATTTTTCTTTTTTCTTTTTTAGAGAAAAAACTGCTTTGTTGCAGTTTTATCAGAAGGAATGTCTGACCACTAAAAGGATACAATACTAAGAATGCAAAAATCTGTTTTTAAAAGTAAAGAAATGCACAGGGGGAAAGGATGTAGAGGTATGGCACTGTGATTCCTATTTAATTTCTAGTAATTAGAATAAAAAATCGATTCACACAAACCTGCTACAATTTCTCTGCTCTCCAATTCTTGCCTTATCAAAGCAAAGAACTAGAACTATGTGGTACCAAGAATGGTAAAAATTCCTTATGGCAACATGCATGGGTCTTAGACCCCAGTTATTACAATTTCAACCCTTTTATACTAAATGGCACTTCCAGTGAAAATAATGATGCCCTCACAAGACTGGAAAGTGGGAGAAATGTCATTCAGTCAATTCTTATTTAGAAAAAAATTTAAAAGAAAATCTTATTTTGAAACTTAAAGGTCATAAAACGCTTCTTTTAAAATAAGGTGTCTGGTTTTTGCTCTGCA